ATTCTTTGTACTTGGGACATTGTTGTCTTACATATTCTGATAGTTTTAAATGTAGAAGTTCCCATATTAGGTGTTTCCAGATTGCGTTCAAGCATCGCCACTAAGAAAAAGACGTATGAGTCTCATCCATCTTTCCCAGATGATTTCTCAGGGTATGACAAGGTCTCGTGCTGTACGTTATTGCCAATTAACTTCTCCAACAATGACCAAGTAGTCACTATTGTGATCTCCATTTTCATTCACTGGAAATAACAAAAGACGTAATGATTTGGCTGTCTGATTACATGCAGTTCACCACACCAGTCACATCTCATGCTGTGAAGGTTGCCTTTTTAGTACACCAGCTCACCTTACACCTGTAATTGCCACCTAACTTCTCCAACAATGACCGAGTACTCACATGATTTCAACATCATTATTTTGATCTCCATTTTCATTCTCGGAAATAAGTGGTTCAGCTGTCTGATTACATGCAGTTTGCCACACCAGTCACATCTCATGCTCTGAAGGTTGCCTTTTTTCTACACCTGACCACCTTACACATCCCGAAACTCATCTCCTTTAGTTTCTTCAAATTTTATAAACTTGCATATGAGCAATTTACAATGGATTTTTATGCCACCTTGATGCTTTAAATTAGTTAATCTTTTGTTATATGTCAGTGCCTTGCTTGGCCAGTTGGGAAGAATCTGACGTGTAGGGTACTCTGAGTCTTATGTTCCTTCTCACATTCTTTTGGCCCTATGCTACTTGGTTCACAGTATTTCATTGCGAATCTATGTTATGGCTTCTGATATGCTCCATGATATGTGGATGAAGTGGTCTGAACCTGACGGGGAGCTAGTTTTTTTTGTGTCATGCTTTAACCATTTTCCATACTTAACTTCCTGAGATTTTTATATAGTGTGGTGTACATGTAGCTGGCAGATGGGTTGTTCTTTCTTCGTCTATATATAGTTTGGTGTACATGTGGCTGGCAAGGGATTTTTATGCCCCCTAGATGATTTAAATTAGTTAATCTTTTTGTTATACATCAGTGCTTTGCTTGGGCAGTTGGGAAGAATCTGACATGTACAGTAGTCTGAGCCTTATGTTCCTTCTCACATTCTTTTGGCCCTATGCTATTTGGTTTATAGTATTTCTGTCACGCTCCGCACCAACAAAAATATTTTAATGAAAATGATAATAAAACCGAGGCACATGACAGTTGGCCACAAATCCTCCTTACGGGAGGACTTGCGAAGCCTAACTTCAATATACTCAACTAACATGTATTTTCACATATATACATGATCCATGAAGAAAGGCTTTATATTCCAAAAATTCAAACTTACATTACATATCAAACTCTAAATATCTCCTTACCATGTCATCAAAGTATTTCCTGCCAACGATCCAATTCAACCCATGGTCTTGATCCCAAGTCATGTTAATTTGAAAAATGGTATTTATATTTGGGGTGAGCTTTCCACACACTGAGTAAATAACGTACATATTTAATAATTTATATAACTGAAACCATGCACATAATAGAATACTATCCAAACAAGGAGTACTATTAAATATGCAATATCTTTAGAAATCAATTCAGCGAGTAGAAATTAAGCAACGTCACACCCTATCTTGACAACTAGATTCCAGCAGAGGCTATCTTCCTAGAGAGGCTGCCTACCGCGACGCTCGGCCTTTTACATCATATTCGACCAAACTGTCTACCACGGCGATTTGTCTGGTTTGGACTGCCTACAGAGACAATTTGTCTGTTATAACACCCTACTCCCTTGATAGGCCTATGACTTACTTTCTTGGTCTACACCCTCAGCCAAAAAACAATGCACTATATGATTGAAATATCATTTGGCAAAACCCGCTCATCATGTATAGCCTACAATGACAAAATCATATACTCATCCATGATAAATTCAACAAGCATTAACTCATGCTTAAAACAATCATGAAGTTTCTTAAAGGAGAAAATTTTAAAACAGCCCATTTTTCAATTTTAATAGGCAAAATCGACCTAAACTGGAAAATATTAGCAAAACCGACCCTTTTCAGAAGAAAATGGTCGGTTTTGCAGCGTAGCATTTTTTACGAAGTGCACGAGACTGCTAGTCCCGTGCACTTGGTCTTGAGCAGCGGCTGGCCTGTCTGCTTAAAAGTCGGGACTAGCAGTCCCGACTTTTAAGCAGAGAGGCCAGGCCCCAGACCAAGTGCACGGGACTAGCAGTCTCGTGCACTTCGTAAAAGACGCTCCGCTGCAAAACCGACCATTTTCTTCTGAAAAAGGTCGGTTTTGCTAATATTTTACAGTTTAGGTCGATTTTGCCTATTAAAATTGAAAAATGGGCTGTTTTAAAAATTTCTCCTAGATTTTACTTCTAAGATCATCTTTTGACCCGTATCATTTTGGTGATAAAATTCACATGAATACCATCCCAATATAT